ATATGAATCTGGTTTCCAATTTTTCTTCCTGTTTCTCCAATGTAGAATTCTGGGCAGTTATTGCATGTTATTTTTGTTCTAAATAATGTTTGTTTAGTAACAATTTTAATTTAGTGCTGGGTTTTTGAGTGAATTTGACGTTGGAAGGAATATTGCGTTTAATGGCTAGTTTTGTACAAGTGTGGATAATTCTTAAGCTGGTTTCAGGGACAAAAGGTAAACTGCAGTGTAATGTTGTTGGGTTTGTTAGTATCAATTTTGTTTGTGAGTTGAGTTTTGTTGTGGGGAATGTTGGCGAGTTTTTCAACAATAGCTGGTGGAAATTTATTGGTGTGAATGAAGCAGGGTGTATTTTAAGGAAATTTTAGAACTGCACAAATCTTTGATCAAGGCAGGTGCCATGACCCAATGTTTGAGATTCTCTGAGTCTGAAAAGCATTTGTTTTTATATTATATGCAAGATTCAACTTGGCATTATTTGCAAATCTTGAATTTATGAAAGTTTTACTGTTTTAGCCATTTTTTACCATGTAGTGTTTGACATAAAATGTAAATTAAAATACAATTCAGCATAGTTTTGCATTTACGAGTGTTTTAAGTCTTTTAACTATCCTTTACCATGTAAGCTCATGTAGTATTGTAGTATTTGACACAAACTAAAGTACTATTCAACATATGTAAAACTAAAAATATATTTCTTGTCATATAAACACAGTGTTTTAAGTTTTAACCATCTTAGTATTTGACAAAAATTTCAAAACAAAGTTCTAATCAGCATATGTAAAAATTAAAAATATACTTCTTGTCATATAAACAGTAAATAAAGGTACTTTTGCTTTTCAGTATCATGGTCATGCATTGGCTTCTCTTTTCTTTATATGACATTGGAGTTTTATTATAAATTTTAGTACTGCACAAGTATGGGTCTACTGCACGTTAAAATAAACCCTGGAATGAAGGATTGCTTTATGTGGTTGATTTCTTCATTTATGTATTCCATGGAACAGAGTCTTGTGGCTGTGTTTATGAGGTTTTTGAGTGTATCGATTTTTTGTGTGGTGTTATGTGCGGAATACCAGGGGATGTAGAGGCCAGTGTGTGTGTTCTTATAGTGAATTTTGGTTTTAAACTGTGTGTCTGATCTAATAATGTTGAAGTTAAGAAAAGTCTTAAAGATATCTGTTTATTGTTTTCGTGTTCTATGGTAAATTTGATGTTGGGATATATGGAATTTATGTGTTCAAAGAAAGCTAGTGTGTGTTTTGTAGAAGTGAAACCAGCAAAAGTGTCATTGACATATCTGTACCAGTATAGTGGTGGATGAAGTGCAGAATGTATGGCTTGTGTTTCGATCTGTGTCTTAAATATATTGGTAAGAATGGGCGAAACAGGACTGCCCATACTTAAACCATCTATTTGAAAGAAATGTTCGTTGTTGAAAATGAAGTTGGTTTTAGTCATTGTAAATTCTTGGAGAGAAGCAAAGAGTGTGCTGGGGATGTGGATTAACTTGTTGGGGTCATTAGTTTAGAGGTCAAATGCAATATTGCAAGCTTCATTGGCAGGGATTTCAGTGAAGAGTGAAACAACATTAAAACTAGCCAACTAAATTCGAAAGCCTTAATGGCTGGTTTTGATGTTGTGTCACTCTTCCATTATGTGGGATATAGATTGGAATGTACAATATTAAGGTAGATTTTTTCTTTAAAGAAGTTGACTCATCGATTATCAATGAAATTCTACTTTTCAATTTAGTAACTGTATTAATTAGTATTTTTTTTAATTTCATCACTAATGTGATTCACGATGTTAATATATGCATTCGTTGAGTGAAGGATATGGCCCGTGTCAGTTCCAATTAGTTCTTGTAAATCTGTTTCAGATCCAAAATTATGAAATGATTGGATTTCTTTTGTTACCTTATATGCTGTGCAAAAATTATTTGCAGTAATCACTTTTTTTGTGAGATAATGCTTTCAAATACACATTTTCAATGGTCTTTTTCTCAGCTTCAGCCAACAATTTTACCACAGCTCTATGTCCCGTGGTTTCCTTGTGATCGAAAAGTTTTTAAGACAAAGACAGAAGCTGTGGCTATCGAGTTTCACCAAAATAAGTTAGTTCATTGTTGGCCCATTCTTTAGACACTTTCATACATGCCTTCATTTCCATTCCAAAAGTTCCAGTTGTATGGTAAGGTATACACCTAAGTTTCCTTTTTCTAATATTCAGCCAATTGTACTCTCTACAAAAATCATTTTTTAATTGGCAATCCAGCAGCTAGGCCAGTCGTTGTCAGATAGCTCATGGACACCAGATGGACCAGGAACAGAAACTGTCATTGATACCATTATTTCCTGTTCTTGGGTCACTTCCTCACTTATTCTAGCTTTCTTATTCACAGAAGGTGAAAAAACTTGTAACTCGTTTTATTTTTACATTGGGGTGTTTTCTCAAGATGCAATAGAAACAGAAAAGCACACCTGCTCAAATTGGCATCACCACCTCGATAGAGCATGTCAGACCAAAATGACTTATTCCCAAGACTTGCACGCATATTTTTATCTTTGCTTAGAAGTTGCTGTGCGATTAATGACATCAATTGTCTTCGTCCACTTTGTGACTTATTTCACTTGAACGAATGTACAGTCCAGACCTGCATATATATTGTCAACTCAGCTTGTGGTCACCTGTTTCCCAATCCCAAGTGGTCTCTTTGAACTCGGTATTGCATCCATCCAGGCTGGCTCTAACCTGCCGCTTCCCAATTGAAATCTGTCAATCAAAGTGAGGCTACTACCGTACATCGACTGATAGCAGCCGTGTCTTGTAGGTGTTAAAGCCAGGTGACCATTGATGTTTCCTATTAATGGCATGCTAATCCCACCTGATGCTTGACAACTCATACTGCACTACGATCACACATACATGATCAAACAAACAGTATGTTTTCACATTCCTTTAAACTTTGTCATTTGTAACACTTCTAATTCAGTTTCTTTTTGGTCTTCTTTTGAACAAAGGATTTGTTTAAAGAGGAAAATTCACACATTCATTTACATTTTTCTTTCAAGTTTTGTCACCTTTCCATTTTGCAATATGAAAAATGGTGCCGGTATGCCGTACTGGTGCGTACCATCTCAAAAAAAATCCTTGTATATTTACTTGACACTTTTCAAAGTTGAAAGCATTTTATCTTAGCAGTGTATCTGTGAAATTTTGTCAGGCATTTTTGATGCTGCTTGAATAAAAAATAAATGTGATTCCAGGGGGTAGTGATAGCACAGTTTATATCTTGGTGTAAGTACGTGGGGAAAAACATGTATCTTTTGCACAAAGAATAGACATTACACAAGCTTATACATTGTTCTTATTAGATAGGTAAATATATTGCACAAACTTTTCTATTTCTTATTGGATAAGTAAAGATACTGCATAGTTTTCATGTTGTTCTTATTGAGTAAGTAAAGTGAAACGTGTCTTGAAGGTTTGTTTACAAAAAATCATGTTGTATAAATGTGTGTATTTTAAATACTTAAATACCCTACACAGGGAGTATATAAAACCTTACAAATACTGTAATAGGAGGTAGGCCTATATAAAACCAAATAAGTCATGAACTAGGGGAGGTTAGACAAAACATATGCTCCTATATAAAAAAAAAAAATATAGAGGAAGCATGTTTACCCCACAAATATAGGGAGTGAATGGCCTGGGGTCTTTTGGCCATTTTTATTTTATGCTGATTATTGAGTTTTTGAGATTTTTTTTTTTCATGAAACTGTTTTAAGAAATTAGTTACATAAATATGATTTGAAAATAGACATGTTTGAATAAGTTTCTAGCTCCTCGATTAGAATCTTAATGACATAGTTGATATACATCTTAGAACTTTGTAATTTTTACTTATTTTGCTTTGGTAGTGGGTTGCTTAAAGAACAGAGCAACACTGACCTCCACACTCCTGGATGTACAGTGAACAATTTCACCCAGTCCTCCCCAGAAGTAGCCTACCCAGAACATTTGTTTGGAGAGCCTGGCATTTGTGTTGTTCAGCCTAATGCTATTTCTAAAGCTTTTCTCAAAAGATATCGAGATCAAAGATGCTCGAAGATAACTCAAGATAAGGATGTGTAGCTGTAACTTAGTTATGCTGCTTGTAAAAACAGGTATGCTAGTTAAGGAAACTTTTGATTTTAGGGCAATTTGCTGGAAAAGTCTTTTCTTTATGAGTCCAATTGTTTTTTTTTTAAAGTCTTTTTTTTCTCACTTATCATGTCAAAGAATCTACAACAGAAAATGTTACTTAAGAACTTATTCTTAGTACTAGGGATGATATGGTTGTCACAAATGAAAAAACTGCTAATTTCACTCTTCCATAAATAGTAGAGAAGATGTCTTCATGTAGGCATTCTAACTTAGACAAAGGGTTTATGCTACAATGTTTAATATGATTCTCACAGTTGAAAGAACTGATAATTTTACTCTTCCATAAATAGCAAAGAAAATCTTCATGTGGGTATTTGAACTTAGACAAAAGTTTTATGCAACAGTGATTGTTTAGTATGGTGTATAGTTGCTTGGCTCTATTTCTGTGTCATGCTTTCCTGTGGTAAGGTCTTACTCAGTTTTATAGGTGGCACAGTTTGTTTTAATTGGTAGTTGATCTCAATCATCTCTGTTCATTGCCTGGTATTCAGTAATTCCCACTTTTCTTGCCTTTCCCTTGATTCTACAGACTCCTACAATTTCCTTATTCATTCTCTTATCTTTCAGCGACACTCCAAATAGCCATCTTAGCCTTCTCACTTCTGTTTTAATCAAAAAGTCTTCTTCTTTCTTCTTCATGGTCTAGGTCTCGGCTCCGTAGAGGAGCACTGGTCTAATCACAGTCTTATACTCTTTGCTTTCAGTGGCCTTTTTTCCCAGATAACTGTGGCTACTTTTTTCCAACACATCTTAATTCTATCTCACAGCTTTCTCACTTCCTCTTTCACTTTGGATTGTACTTCTCAAGTACCTAAAGTTTTCTACCTGCTCCAGTGTCTTCCCATTTACATCTATGATCATGACCTTCTACTTTCTACTCCATCCTCTCACCAAGACTTCCATTTTTGTGGCATTCATTTTCAAGCCTCTTCTTTCCAAGCTTTTCTGCCATACTTTAACTTGTGTTTGTAACTCCTACTTGCTTTAAGCTTTCAGGACAAAGTTGTCAGCAAATAATAGCTCCCAGAGGGATCCCGTGCATCACTCTTAACTCAAGATGTCAATGACAATGACAAACAACAGGGGCTAATGGCAGACCTTTGGTACAGCCCAACATTTACATCATACTTGTATGCTTCTCCATATACTTTCTTCACAATTGTTGTTGCTCATTTATAAATGGCTCTCACTATTTTCAGGCACTCCTCTCTTCTCTAGAAAGGCCATGAGAGTTATAATAGTTGAAAAATTACTAATTTCCACCATCTATTAAGTAGTAAAGAACATATATTTATTTAGGTATAATCAAGTGAATTTTTCTAAAATTTGATGTTTCACATGTAGTTAGTGGTAACCTTGCAAACTGAATGTCAAAAAGACTAGAAACTTGTGCTAATCCTCTTGCATATACAAAGGTTATGTACTACAACAATTGTGCAATAGGTGTTATCTTTGCTTGGCCCTGTTATGCTCTCCTGCAGTGAGGTCATGCATATTTTCAGGGGTGGTACAGTAACTTGTATAAGTTGGTGGATTTGGGAATGATTGTAGATGCAGAAAATAGCTATGGAAGAAAATGTGGTATCATTCAGCTCCACAGACATGCTTTTCACCAGGAGACTAGTATAGGTAGAGACTCCAACGTTTATTTAATGGTGAATGAAAATTGTTTGTTTATTCACTTGTGTTTGGTTCAGCTCTTTGCAGTCCAAGTTCAAAATTATTTTCTGCATAACATTTTGAACCTACTCCATTGCAGATATTTATTACTTTCTTTTTGACATAAGTCTACCTGAATGCCACATTTACTTGTTTGGAGATGATGTTTTGATGCACTTTAGTGGATATTCTTCAAGTCTGTAATGTTGAAGACTTTGTTGTATTTTTCTCTTTTTGGGAGATCATGTATAATTGCTCTGATTGGTTTGATGGAGGTGGGTTCTGATTGGTTGAAGTATTTAATACACAGACAGCTATTCTCCCTTTGTCAAGTCTCTGAGTACAGGGATTTTTGATTATGATGCATAGAGCTTCTTTAATTTTTTTTTTTTTGTTACATATTTTGCTTTTATGCCAATCTGTGGTGCAAGTTGTTTCCATAAGTTTCATAAACAGCATTTGGATGCTATGTGAGTCTTTACCCTAAGTATTTTCCTATATAAGACAATGCAAAGGAACACTCAGTTTTTTTATATAGTGTCTATGGATGTTAGGTAGTCTGGAGGTTGTTTAGGTTTTCTTATAAGATTATTCAGTGCTAAGAGTAAAAAAGAAAAATAACAAAATGTTACATTTGTTGGCACAATGAAAGGTAAGATATTTATTATTAGTTAAAGTCAATTAAGTTCAGTAACACAGTTACAATTAACAGTTACCATTCATTGTGCCAAAAAACGTCAGATTTTTTTTTTTTGTTCTTAATATATCAGCACAATGTGCCTGAAAACAAATTATTATTCACTGTTGGTTACATTTTGAAATGGAACTGAAACTTTTGCATATTTTTTTTAAATGTTGCAATAAATAAATGGAATGATCTTTTGACTCTGCTTCTGTTTTCGTGTGATCTTGTTTGCTTATGTTTGTACATTACATGCAGTGTTTTATGTATCCATTGGCTTAAAAGACATTGCAGAGGTACTTCAGTTCTTTGGATAGATATTTGTTAATGAAAACTTCCTTAGCTATGTTGAACAGATATTAAAATTTCGCAATTTTAGTGAGTGTGGATGGTTAGATTTGAAGCTCAGGTTCTTGTCTCTGTGTGTTAGTAGATATATATCGATAGGCTATTGTTTTACCTGATTATCTGGGCATCAACAAATGGAAGGTTTGTGTTTTCTTTCAACAGAATGGTACATTTGATGTTTATAACATTTTACACAGGAAATCAACTAGTAAAGTACAAGTAACCCATGTAGAAATCCAAAATTATTATTCTTTTTTTTCCCGTAGACATGGAAATGGATGGTTTCTGGTCTGGTTATTTATGTTCTAGACTTGGTCTACAGAATACTAAGACGTAGGTCGACAGCAGCTCTAGTAGCAGCCAACTGCCATCCAGCATCAGTGTTGGAGTTGACTCTGGTGAAAAAGAAATTCTACTTTCATCCTGGCCAGGTGAGGCCAGGGGATTTCTTAGTTAAATTGTTAACTATTACACTATTCCTTTTAAGTTGAAAAGCGTTATTCTTTAAAATAACAGCCAAACAGTTAAAAAAAAATCTAATACATCCAACCATTACCTTTCCTTTCTGTTAAACTGTCATTTATTACTTCAACTTTTTTCCCATTTTAAACATTTATTACTCCCTCTTTTTCAAAGTTAATGTAAAACTTATTGCTACCAATCTCTCTTAATTAGAGTAGCTTAATGACACATTCTAGAAAGAATTATTACTCAAAACCTATTAATTTCATTCCCCGTCAAGTAGTTTCTTATTCCAAATTCTTCAACGTTAAAGAGGAAAATATTAATATATTACATATTAAAATAGTTTTTATTCCAATACTTTGAAGAAACAACTGTCATTCCACATCGTTATCCTCCTGTTTGTTAAAAAAGATAAAAAAATTTCTATACAGAGATCTTTACTACTTTAAACCTCTACTCACAAGGTACACTATTGACTTGACTATCTGTTTAATTGTGAATTGTACCTTTTTACATATATTTTGGTGAGATGCTTTCATTAATTCTCTCAACACGTGCCCGTTCAACTTGACTGACCACATGACCTCTTTGTAATCATTAAGTGTTTATAGATGTGATACTACTAACTTTTAATGTAGTGTGTATGTCTTCACGAAATTTGGCAGTCTGTCAATAAATATTATAAGTCTTTCACTTACAAAAAATCACAATTTTTAGTGAAGTATATTTAGTAAACTAAAAAAGGATATGATCTTGAATTTATCGAGTATTTGTTTCGAATAGTCTGTGTGCAAAGTGATTCTTCATTTTAAGATTAAACATACTTTTTTTCATCTCAAAAATCTCAAATTTCATTTGTGTAATCTCTAAAACTTTCTAAATATATTTAAAATGTTTGTTTTCAGTAAAACTTTATATTTTATCTGTTATTTTCTATCTTTGAATTCTGCTCTGTTGGGAGTGGTGCTTGTCCAGGTATACTACAACAAAAAATCCACACCATGTGGCTGTGTAGGTCTACCCCCTTCCTGCAATTGCCCAAATGCTGGGTTCCCAGGAGTCCTGATGTTGGTTGTGTACTGGCTCTTACTTACATGTGCCCAGCCTTGGTTATTGGAATTGAAATTGATTTTACCTTCTGGCTTGAGGTGAAGATGTTTGGGACCCTCCTCCTATTCCCAACCAAAAGAAAAATACCAGATGCTGCCTGGTTTTGGACTGGAGTTGACCCACCAAATACAGTCTGAAGTGCCCTAGCCACTCTACATAATCTGGTGTATTCATTTAGAGATTGGATCTGCATCTTTCAGCCTGATTTAGTGACACAAATCTTTACAATGGGTGAAGAGTAAACCTGGTACAGATTGGGTATGGTCTCCCTTTGGTGTGACCCTATACAGTAAGTTATCATATCCATGAGTTCTCTTTGGGTACCTTCTGAAGAATCCTCATCTAGGTGTGGTATTCTAGGTATTATGTGAAAAGAGTTAAGGTATTGTATCAGAAGTTAACATTTTGCTATACTGAAAATATATTTCAAATAGATACTTATCTCTATTCAATCTTCTCACCCAACCATCCCACTCCCAGTGCATCCTTTTGCCTAATCTCAATGTGATGAAAGTACTCTACAGTATAGAGGGAGTCAGCTGCACTAAGAGGATGTGTTGCACTCCTATTATCTTATCTCGAACATTTTCCAAACAAACAAGCAAAAAAAAAAGACCAACATTTCTGATATGTTTAGTAAATATATCTGTATTTTACAAAGAACTGTAACTATATATGGATTAGGGAATGGATCACACTTCTGAATGGTGCAGACCTATGCTCATCAGTTTTCCATTCAATATTTCCAACTTGAATTGTGATGAAATGAAACAAATTTTTTAAGTATATAGCAGAAGGAAAAGGTAAAAGATGGATAAGAAGTGATAAATGGGTATATCTACAAGTATTTAAATCCCACTTTATACTACTTGTAAGTTCACCCTTAATTATGGAAAAAGCATTGCTTGAGTCTAATTCTGGTTCTTGTTCTTGAATTATTGTCAAGTTTTTTGTATGGGCTAGATTCTTTACAGTAGGTGTCGTAAAAAATGTTCATTACACTGTTGGTTATTACAGTTGTATCCAAAGCTTTAAATAATTCTCTTTTTCATGAAAGTCCACATAGGGTGGTTCAGTTACTTTAGAACACAATTTGAAAAAACGAATTATTCTTCCTACTCTGTTATTTCAACTCGGTGTGTGATAATTTCTCTTTAAAATCACCACTATAACTATTGGCTACCACAGTTGTAACTAGAGCTTTTAATAATTCTTTTTTTCATCAAAATACACACAGGCTGGTTCAATTACTTTGGAACACAATTGACGAATTCTTCTTCTTTACTCTGTTATTACAATACAATCTGTGATAATTTTACTTTAAAAATCACCACTATACACTATTCATTACTAAACTCACAATCACAAAGTCTAAATCTATTTTTCGAACTAAATTTTCCATGCTTATTTATACCACAACAGAGGTCTAGAACATTTCACACAATACTAGATATTATGATGAAATAATACTCAATTAAGACAATGAGAAAAACTCAGAAGGTTCTAACAACATGACCCAATAATACAACAATCACCAATTCATAACTTTTGAACTACACAACGTATGATTTGCAAACAGTCATGTAAACAAACCTGCGATAAACTATCACTTTTAAAAATAACTAAATTTAACACTTGCATTATATAAACTACCTAAATCATAACACTTGCATTAAACTTAAATAGAAACAGTTGTGTATATATAACAATTATATTAATTTGGTAATTTATAGCCTATATTAATAGGTAATCAGAATTAGGGATAATTTAAAAAGGTAGGCTTTGCATTTTTATTGTAATGGTAAGCTTGGGAAGCATAAGACAGTGTGTTATGTTTTAAAAATAGCCTGTGTCCAGAAACAAAGCACTTATGATAATGGTCTGTTGGAGAAAGCAAAGAACATTGTGTTGTGATACTGTTTTATCTTTACATATGTTAAATTATTATACTTAATCATCCCATATAGTTTCACGCTCAAATCTCCTGGTAGCTGAGCAATAATCCATAGGGAGAATAATACTAGACTTTGAGTTTAGATATCCATGGTCAATTCAGCATTTGTAAAGTTTTGTGCTAAAAAGAGAAGTAAAAAAATTTAAACCAGATTAAAGTATATTATCCATTTCTACATTATTCATCTCATTTGTCATGAGAGTTATTAAAATAACCTCTATTGCTTTGGAGATTCATATGACCTTATAATTTTATTTATTTACTCATTTTTCAAAGTTTAATATACTTTTTGGGTTGAAATTTGGTGAATCACATATTTGTAATTCATTATTTGAAAACTGGAATATTATAAGTGTTGCGGGTGTTATGATAAATGCAGAATTTTCTTTCTTTAGTATGTTCTTCTGCATTGTCCTAAAGTATCTTTGTGGGAGTGGCATCCCTTCACAATCACCTCAGTAAGTGAACTTTATTGTAATGTTGTATATGGTTAGATGCTTAGAAGCCTCTGAAAATAGTTTGAGAAATAGGTTTACTCATACATTCAATTAAACAAAATCATAGGTTATTTTCAAATTTTTTATTAAACTGTATGTAAAATAACAAACACAAACTATTTTTAACTGATCTTCACTGAAAAGCTCGAACTATAATAATTATTTGGAAAGAACAGAAAGTTAGTATGTAGGCGCTATGTAGTTAATATGTTTTTGTTGTTTTTTTTGTTTAATGAGAAAAGTAATGGGTATAGAACTGCATAATATATCAATTTAATCAGTTGTGGAAACTACATAAATATAGCTTTTTGGTTTGTAACTTACTACATGATGTACATACATATATCCCTCTTTATAAAAAAGTTAGCACAAAAGATCACATATAAAGCGTAATAAACTTAAAATGAGACCAAAAACTTGAGTGCTTTCGAATAGTCTTATTATAAGTGCATATAACCCTATTAGTGATCTAAGGTAGATACTCTTTCTCATCATTTGATTCAAAATAGTGTAATCAATCATGTGTAATGAACTTGATTTTGGATAGATGGTTTTATTTGGTCTGCAAATTTTCAATGTTTCATTTAGTCAACATCAGGTCAGTCAAAGTTTACACTTCATCTGCGGACACGAGGAGATTGGTCACGTAAGTAAATGTTTCTTTTTCCAATGATTTACTTGCAATTTATTCACAGAATTGATAAGTATATGTTACGTCACCATTATTTCTCACACAAAAGTATACACCTTGCTGTTGACATAGTTAGTGTTAAATTAAGCATCTTACCAGTTGCAAAATTAAAGTAATCATAGTTTTTGCCCTTCATTTTCTTTTCAGTAGTTAGTGTAGTTGTAAAATTTGTGTTTAGTTATACTGAGAAAAATGAAAGTTATGGCTTATACAGTCAAGACAGTTCCCATAAGAAAGCACTAATTTTTTAAGCTTTGGTTATCCTACAGAAGAGTACTAATTTCTTTATAAATACCAGTCATAATTTCAATCATATACCAACTTAGGTACTGAAATATATATTCAAATATTAATGCTTTTGAAATTCTTTAATATACTTGCATATTTTTTGTTTATCTTTCCTTACATACTCTAAATTCATTCTTGTTCTTCTTCCCTTCTTTTAATCTTAATCCATTCAAATTCAGTTTTTTAATACATATTTTTTCTTTTTTTCATTCCTCATGGTTCCTCCATTTTTTATTTTTTTTTGCCTTCTGTGAATGTTACTCGTAGCCTTGTCCATGTTTTAATAAATCTTTCTTCTCTCTCAAATATTGCACTTTAAAAATCTCTTCTTTTGTCTTTTCATAATACATACAATAGGGTGATTGTTGAAATCTCTGGATTCTTTATTCTACCTTTATTTTCATTGTTTATTCAACCATCTTTTCATCTCTCAAAGATATACTTTCCTTCTAATCAGTTTATCAACTTCTGTGTTTCCAACTCCTTCCAATATTCCTTAATTCCCTATTTTGCCTTCTCTTTGTTTTCCCATTCCTCTTACTATCTCCATCAATCATATCTTTGATCTCCTTTGTTATTTCATCTTTATTTACAAACTGCATGCCCAAATTCTTTTCATCCCAGTTATTTCCATGTTGCCATATATTTTGTAATGTATTCATAACAATTCAGTATATTATGTATATTCCCTCCACATTCTCAGCCTTCTCTTCTTATTCCCATTCACATGTTTCTGACCTATGCATTGTAACTGAATCACCCAGCATATATAAAAGTTGAATGTTCTTCTCAATATATTTCATTCCAGTTATCTTTTCTATACTTCACATTACATTAAGCTCCCTCTGGACTTTTGCACATTGCTGATTTATTTTTTTGTCTTTTTGTATTTCTACCAGTGAACCCAATACCTCCATATTTGTACTTATTTATTTACAACCAACATTTCTTGATTCTTCCACTTCCAATGTTTGCTTTTTTCCACCATACTTCATTTTGCAATACCATGAACTTTAACTTACTCAAGATCCTTGTTAGTTAGTTAGTATCTATGTATCCTTCCAATGACTTAATCTTTTTTAGTCCTTCCTTTTCATTTACCACTATCACTGTATAAGTTAAGAGCAGTAAATCTTAATTATCCCAATAAGAATGCTTATAAGTTTTGTTAACCAACTCTTTCCTCTTCCAGAATTTTAAATTGTTAAGGAAATTGGACTCAATGGGCATTATTGTTTCACTCCTCCTTGTGTCCAAAATCTTTTGGTAGATCTTCCTGTTTGCACCATATTTTTGTTTCTCTATAGATCTCTTGTATCATCCTCAACATTCTTCCTCTAACTTCATTATGTTACATCTTCCAGAACATTTTTTTTCTGCTCACTTTGACAAACTCAAACTTTATAAAGAAGGCATACAGCTTACTTATTTCACTATGTAACTTTTATTACCACATTGTGTGAAGATATCTTGTCAAATATGCTTTATTAAAACCAGGTTGGTTATCTGTAATTTTCATATTTCTATCCAAGTGTTTCCTGGACTATTATCCATATTAAATCTTTATACACTATATTTTGTAATTTAAATCCTCCAGAGTTTTTAGCATCTTTGTTTTCTGCTTTATATATCAAATGTATCCCTTCCCTCATTCATTTGTTGGGACATGCCATATTGTCTCTCACACAGTTTATTATGTTGAACTGTTTTATTTCGTTCCTGCTGTGGCTGGTTGATAAATTCCCTGATCTTTGTCAGTGTTCTAGTTTTTCTTAAGCCTCTTAATTTCTTTATCCAATTCTTTTACCTCCCCCTCCAAATCTTCATCATATTCTTCTTTACTCCCATCCTTTCCTTCCTCACTTTTCTTATAGCCCTGTCAGTATATCCACAAAAAGCCACCAAATGAGTCAGCAGTTAGTTTATGGACTTACAATGTTAAAATCTGAGGTTTGATTTACTGTGGTGGACAGAGTGCAAATAGTGCTTGTTCTCTCAGTTTTCCTTTTTTCTTGTATTTATTCATTTCTTTTCAAACATTTTGTAATGATATACTTTATTTTCTCTTGGATCTTGTTATCTTTTTTTGTTGTTGTACACTTATGGAGATCTCTTCTACTTTAATAGGCCAGTTGTGGCCTAGTGGTTAAAAAACACTTTGTGGTAATGTATGTGCTATAAGCATAATGATCAAATCCACCTATTTGAGTACCCAAAGAGATGCCAATGGATGCTGTGGACTAGCTGCCTTCATTCTAGTCTATGAATTAAAAATGAGTGACAGCTATAGCAGATAACCCTTGTAGTTTAACATGGATTACAGAAAGAAAGAAATTTAAGTTTAACATGTATCTTTGTCTTTTTCTTCAAGACTCTTCAATTACTTCGTTAAATATCTTGTTTATTTTTCCTCCTTACAATCTATTAGCCTTATGCATGAGAGTGGGATAAAATGTACATGTCAAAACCTTTTTGTAGAATTATATTCAAAATTTAATGCATGTCAGTGAACTTGGCATCAAAACATTGTGTATAATTCCAGTTTTTATATTATCCAAGTATTAATTTCTTAATTTCAGAAGGAAATATTTATAATATTTCTCAATCTTCACTACTCTTGTGTCACATGAAGTGTTTGGTGCTCTGATTTCTCCATTTTTTTTATCCATTTTATTGTCTTCATACTGTTCAGCCAATTAAAAGGAACACAAACTATAGATGTTAACAGGCAAGAAAATAAAATAAGAACCTCTTATCTTCTCAATTTGCTGAGATATGAAGTTTTTCCACCTAAAAGCCAGGGTCCTCCGATCTTTTAGAAAGATTTAATGTATTTTCTAACTCCTGTGGTATGTATTACATATACATGTTTATAACCAATAGAAAGAATAAAATTCTATGTACCACTCTTACATTTCTTTGCTTATATTTTGCCAGTTAGAGATGGCAGTTTCCAAGAAAATATTACTGTGTGTTGAAGGAAATCAATGCTCTGTGAACAGTAATGGAATTTTTTGAATCTATTTATAGTTTATTTTGCATATTGGATAAATTATAGTAGTTTTAGAATATTCCTTTCTAGTGCATGATATACTTTTGTGTTTTGAGATGCATATTTGAAAGCTTTGTGAATTATTTTGTGGACAGCCAAAATAGTGTTAAAAAAGAAAAAAAGTTTTATTGAAGTACATCTCTGAGTACAAAATACAGACAGGCCTATAAGCTAAGGAAAGTGTTAAATTTCTTGTTTTTTAAGTATATTTTTTTGTTATAATATATTTTCAACAAAACTAACTAAAATGTAGAAATTAGAAGCTTGTAAGGTTAGATGAAAAAATTAATAACTAAAGAAAATTATCAAAATCACTCACTCAGCTCTAAGCTGTTCTGCTATGATATATTGGTTTCACATACTCTGAAATGGTGTAAGTTACATTCTCTATGGAACTCTTGTTACTTTTCTAGACCAGGTGAATGATTCTCGCTGAATGTCTCAGCTGTTTCACCTCAAAAAATCCCTCAATACCTCAGAAAGAAGGGGTTGCAAAGCTCTCCACTGTTTTTGAACTCCTATCATTTTCAGTTATGCAAACTGTTGAGGAACTAGGTATTATATCTAATAGCACCAGCCGTCCTAAACCTAGTTAAGCGAGCAGCTATCATTTGATATCCTATGCATATCTCTTAAAGTGAAACTCTGCTACATAGCTCAAAAAGTATTGGTCATGAAGCACTTTTGGTCCTGTTAATCTTGTAATCAATTAACAATCCTATCTTCTGATGATCACATGGTAGTCATACAATACAGAGCTTACATTGTACCATACAAACCTACAAGATATCTTGGAAAGCAAGAGTCACAACACCCTGTAGCGTAGTGTATACATTGTATGGTAAACATCATTTGATGGTTTAGAAAGCAAGGATTGCTAGCCACTTTCAATCATCAAGTGCTCAACCTAATGATTGTCCTAGCTCTGGATGATCAAGTATTAGTCACAACATATAGTTCATACATTCTGTTGGATAACAGTACTTTGTTGCTCATAGAGCAAGGTATGCTACTTCCCTCAAGTATTTGGTTGCTCTACTGAATGACTGTTTTAGCTCTTGATTCAGGTTCAGTTCCAGCAATCTCGCTTAAGATTTATCTCTGACGATGACCCCTGTCTCATGGTCCAACCAACACTTCCTTGTCTGACTTGGCTGCTGTAACTCGTACATTAATGGACCAACACATTGTATTACTAGCTGGTGGCCAGTCCATTCAAAGCCAAGAGGCTTTTGTGCTAATGGTACATACCAAAGACAAATCCAGTCTCCACTTTGGTACATCTACTCCTTCACTTTTCTATTGTAGCACCACGTTTTTCATGTGGCAGCCTTTCGTAGCTGTCAATGTACAAGCTCTTACACATCTACCAATGCAAACCTTAGCCACTCTATATAGTTATGTTGACACTATGGCATCTGCTGTAGGTGGAGGATCATACATCACATCCTCAAGGAGTAAGGCTTCTCAAACAAGTATTACTATATTCCACAAACAACCTATTGATCTCTCCAATTGCATGGTATGCCTTTAGGGCATAAGGTAAATTTTCATCTCTGTTAGTTTGATCTGAGTTAACAAACTTAGCAGCCTATTTTCAACAATCTGGATCATTCTTTCCACTAAAACATCAGACTGGAGATAATAAGGTAAGTTCTACATGTACATAAAACTCCACACTTTGCACAACTTAGAGAACAGTTGGTTGTTAAAGTTAGCCTTCTTGTTCCGAGTGGATCTCTTCAAGTACTCCACACTAGGGTATCCATTGCTCCACTGGCAGCAGTTGATGAACATGAGTATATGGAGTTGAACTCTTTCTGTCTCTGAAAATGGACAGTGATATCCAGGGCTATTCTTTGTTACAGTTTACCCTGTTTAAGTTGGCATTTCCTCTTGATAGCATATATTCTACAATGTTCACACCAACACTGAATGTTTTCACTTAAATGTAGCCAGAACCAATACCACCATTGAAAATTAACATAAGTGTGTGAAATACTTTGATGCCCTCCAGTCTTTATGTTATGCAAAGTCTAAAGAATCTTGTGCCACAAAAATCTGGGGAATACTAGTTGTAACACAGGCTGAGAACCACTACTTGATGGTTGAAAACAATTATAAAACACACTTTCCTGCATTTGTAATTGGATGTCAAAGTGCATTTATGCTGTATTCCTTAATCTGGGTACACAAGAACTTCACTTTGCTTTGCAGTAAGGAGCACACACACTAGATTTGGAGCTCTCAAAACAGCAATTGTGGTATCTATCCACTAGAAGAATCTCCTACTATATGGCTTGTTGTTATAGCACAATATTTAGAATCTGGGCATTCTGCATATAGACAAGTTCTCACCAACTGCTGAGACAGTCTATTTGCATTTCTGTGTTATGGGCCTGGGTGATAATGTATGATTAAATTATACACCTGCAATGCTGTTATCCAGAATGTTATTATCCATTTTAGATTTTTAAAGATCATAGAACATTTCAGAAACTGTGGACTTCTCATTGAGATTAGTCTCACACAACTGCTATTTTAACATTGAGATTCCTTCTCAATCCACGATATGACCAAGATATTCCACTTCCACGCATAGGGAAATTCTCTGGGTTCCAATTTCAGGTCTGCATTTTATCTACTGGACAACTATTTTCAAGTTCTTAGCTACAGACTCAAGCATGTCACCAAACACTGAGAAGTTGTCAGTGCAGATCAGATACTTCTCTCCTTGCAGTTGCTTGAGTGTAAGCTCATAAGTCTCATGAAAGTGGTGGGCTTATTAGACAGGACAAATGACATGAAACTCGTACAAACCATCTCTCATTCTAAAAGCAGTCTTAGGTCTATTATCATCATCCAGTTCGACTTGCAAATAACTGGATGCAATGTCTAATGTACTGAATTAATGGATCCATTCCAATGCATCCAAACATTCATCTTTCATGGTAAAGGAAAGGCATTAACACATGTTCCCTCACTAAATAATCAGTGGAGAACCTAGGTGTAACTTCTTTCTGACAATCACTACTGGTGATTATGACTTAACATTAGCTATATTTCAACACAGGCTCTCTCCCTACTGTTGTAAGGAAACCTGCATGGTGATTGTTTACTCGGACCTACATTACAGTATTTGTGATATTGTGTGACTGCTTTGACCCAATTGGCCATCTAGTGCCATAAGTACATTGGCACCTTCTGCCAACAAATCAATGAGTTACTGCTGCTGCTACATTGAATCTAAATTGTTTGCACAGTTCTCAATTAATGATCTCAAGTGTTTTAATATTTACTTTCGAAAGCAGTGTGGTTATTACGTAAAAATATATATTTTACTACATTAATTGTTTCTCTCAAAAATATGTAAAATAAACTAAGACTTTTCCATGTAGATAATATTTATTAGTCATTTATTTAAAATTTCTAGTCAAACCTTTTATATTCACAGATAATCTGAGCATTCATCTATTGGGAGGTAGAACATCACTGCTAGTCAACCAATCATGCATGGTATGCTCATATTACCTATTTTCCTGCTTTGATTCTTAAAAGAAATTAACTTTTATTTTTAAATATCTGAAACTTGCCTAAAATTGAATTTGATCTGTTCTCTCAAAAGTTATAAAACAGTCCATTTGCAAAATCTTGATGCCATGTAGTGCTTGAAATGGCAAAAAGAAGAGTTGGTATAAGAAAAGTGGAATAAAAGAGAGGAAAGAAAAAGTATTGGTATGCAGTTAGATACATATTTCTGGCTATGATGAGAAGTGCCATTAAGTAACTCTTTAGATTATAGAAGTGCCTGTACTTCTTACTAGCCCATTTCAAGCACTGATTTTAATGTTGCTCTTTAATTATCTTGCTTAATACATTTGAAAAAAAAGAAGGCATATAGGCATCTGTGATAAACACTTGTTTGTTTTTGTATCAAGCTTTGCTACTAAATCTTTAAGTTTTATATTATGGAGGAACAAATGTTGTCTGTAAGTTCAAATATAGTTTGTCTATTGAAGAATTGTCTGTCAGTTTTGTGGTGTGTTTGATTTTTTTAAAAATATTTCTCAATAATAAATTTTCTTTACACTTCAAAGCTCATTTGCATTATTTATCATACTATGTAAATAATTTTCCATCACTGTGCTTTATGCATGTAATTTTTAGTTTTTGGTATAATGCGAATGATTTTTTTATTTTTAAGTAGATCTTACTCGAAACAATGTTTTAAACATTTCTACAGACTTTATGTTGATGGACCTTTCTGCAGTCCTTCTCAAGGGGTTCTTCACTACCGAGTCAGCATATGTGTATCGGGTGGTATAGGCGTTACACCATTTGCAGCTTTTCTCAGTTACATAAGGTATATGAACTTTTCAATGGAGAGTCCTCTGTGAATGTCACTCATTTTCTTTCAGTTAACGTTTCTACCAATCACTTTTTGTGGAAACATCTGTACTGAAGCTTCAGATGATTTAACTCTTATCTGCCTGAACATCATTTACTGCACATGACTTACATTCGAAATTTTATTAAACTACTTTTTATTTATGTTATACTAATTAGTATAGCATAAAATCTTAGCTAACAATCCACATTTTAATAGTAAATAAGTTTTAAGTTCTTAATTTTATAAGGCAATATTTAAAAAAAATCCTGAATTTCCCCTAGTGTGACACATTTTCTCTAGGCACATCCTCTTCTCTATTTTATTCACCACCACTCCAATAAGTACAAAACTAAACGTATATTACTCACTATAAAATCGTCATTGCTCAAATAAACCATAATTTTTATAGACTTCAATTTGGTTTGGTTACAGAGCCACCAAATATAAAATAAGATCCCTCTTGCCACACCCATGTGTCGCATCCTCTCTTTCAGGATTTGTTAATAGCTCTCTTGGTTTAATTCTATATTATCTATAACCAATAGAAAGTCAAGGTTTTCATCTATGAAATGACTTATTATATTACGTTGTTTTCTGAACAGAAAATTGTCAATTTCTCTGTTAGTAAAAGCTTCATTCCCACAGGAAATATCACGACTAGCTTGGATGAATTTGTAATAACTCTTGTTGCATAGTTAGATAGCCAGAAAAAAATTTATAGTTAGAGGAAATTGTCTGTTTTTTGCATGTTACTAATCTATGTTTTTTGGTGCATTATATCATTGGATAAAAAATTTAGTGCATTACAACCATTAGCATAAAAAAAAAAGTAGGGTTAAGTGTCATCAACATTCGACAGCAAAAATAGAATACTAGAGTAAGTGCTTTCATTCTTGTTTTTAGATGTTTATTCATTATTATTATAAAAGTTCCTAAAATGTAAAATTTTAGGTTAGTTAAAATTAGATTAGGATAAAATAACTAATAATATAATAATGTTTCATGAGGCATGCACAGGAGCAGCTCGTGGGTAATTTGATAACGTAATGTTGCGCCATCGAGATCACATGACTACAGTGATGCCACGTTTCTAGAACTATCCCGTATCTTGGCGAATGCTCTAGTATTTGCTAGATATAGGGTAGTTTGGTATATATAAGAGGGGACAACGTGACGCGAGATTAAGGGAATGTGTGTGTAGACAGTGAGTAATTGATCTGCAGTCAGAAGTATTATTGAGCACGTTCGTTGTTATAGCGTTTATTTAGCATGATTGTTGAAGTTGAGCGTATCGGTAAAGTTATATTCGGAAAGAATAAACCAGTTTTATTAAGTAAAGGACTTGTGTCGCTTAAATTTCGTCGGAACGAAGTTACGGAAAATCAATTAACAAACGGAGACGTAACAGTAACATGAGCTGCACATTCCATAAGTGACTTACAACTTATAATGCCACGAATAGTAGTTAGATACAGTTCAAAGAGCAGTAACACCACAAGATTTAATTATAAATAGATGTCTACTATTACGAGTTTAAAGCTATTTAGGATAAAAGAACATAGTTTCATGTTACAACTTGATGTTATTCTAGAAACAAAACAGGGTAATTTCAATTTTTTTCTTGTAATTACAAGGTTGGTCAATTTGACCAACCTTATATAGAGTTAGGGTAGATAAAATAACAAATAAAATATAAAGTTTTACTGAAAACAAACATTTGAAATGTATTTAGCAGGTTTTTGAGATGAAAACTATTTTTAATCTTAACATGAAAATCATTTTGTACATGGAATATTCAAAACAAATACTCGTTATATTCACAGACAAATCTTTTTTTTTAGTTTATTTAAAATACAGTACTAAGAATATGACTTTTAGTATGTGAAAGACTTGTAATGTTTACTGAAAGACTGCCAAGTTTTGTGAAGATATACGTACTATATTAAAATTTAGTAGTATCAAACCTATAAAAACTTTATATGAGTACAAAGAGGTCATGTGGTCAGTCAAATCGACCAAGTTATTATTGAGAGAGCTAAACATCCTAAAAGTAACTCCCACAAGACAGGCTTGCACAAATAAAAACTATTTTATCAACACCTCTTCTGTATCCACTACATCTGAAGGCAACCATCCCAAAGGCCAACCCCTGTTAAAAAAAATAAAGCGATTTTAGCTGAAAATGTTTCTTACCCTGCCAAACATTATGTTGCTTAGTCTTACCATTCTCATCATTAAGTATGTAAAAAATGATGTGTCAACACAATCATTTCTCTTAATAATCTTAAACACCTTTATCAGATCTCCTCTAACTCTTATTTTTTCAAGAGAAGTGCCAGTATGTATCTCGGTGGAATATAAAAGAGCCTTTGCTAGTCCATGAACTAAGTGTGATGGGGGTTGGTACCACTAGGGGAGATAAAGGCTCATTATGATTTTTGGCAAAGTCGGGATCCTAGAGATGGAAAATAGGTGATAGTAATGCATACCTCTGCCTTCTCAGTGTCATCACTATAAATCACACGCTCTGTATTCACCAGTAGTTAGATTTTTGCAATTGTGCTGCAGGGTTTTTATATCAATATCCTATAAAATCTTTATTGTTTAAGTCAGGGTATTAAATAAAGAGCTAAGCTACTCAAGCACCTGCATTTACTGGTGCAACAAACAGCATTTAGTTATCTTCACTGGTTTGCCATTGGCAGCTTCTTTAGTATACTTTGTTTTAATAAATAATTTGCAAGCAATTGCTTTTACTCAAATGTTAGTTGACAGTTTATTTTAATGCCCATTTCCACTATCATCTCATCTTTTATACATTTTTGTGCAAGGCAAGGATTTAGTGTTTCTGGGAATTTGTATGTAATCTGTCAATTTTTCATTTCTAAGAAATTTGTTCAAGTAACTGGCAGAAAAAATGTTAATCAGCACCCTTGATGGACTTGTATTTTTGCTCAGAAATAAAATTATAAAAATTGATAAAGAAGGGACAGTTAGAAGAAGAACAAGCAGTTTATTGACATTTCTTTACAGATTAAACTTTGTTCCTGCAAATACATTAAAAGGGAGAACAGAAAAAATGCTTAAATGAGTAGCAATATGTGATGCAATGTCTTGGAAAACTTAATCATCATCATCTGGTTCTTCTCCAAAGGAACTGTCAATGATTTCTCCTACTGTTGTCTGATTGTCACAGTCAGAAAGTATGTGCATATGCATCTGAAGCCATTTGCCAAGCAGACACATCTTGGATGTTTGCAGCTCCCGAGATAGTCAAAGGCCAGTAGGTCCAGCTCATCTTGAAGTGTTTGCTATCCTTCCATCTAATCTACTGCCAGTTGTACATTTTCATCCTGATTTTCCCACTTCCAGCCTCTCCCATTAGGAATAAGTGTCCTCCATAGTACACACTGGAAATTGGCCCATTTTTTCAGTAGTCTCTGCATGGAGGCAGTTGGTATCTTTCAATATCACCTTTCTTTCTACAGAATAGGTAATACCTCAAAGCATTTAATCTCACTGTATCAGATTTGGCTGCAAAGAGATGGAATGGGAAATTCTCCCATTTGTCCATCAGCTTCTTAGACAGATTCCATTCCTCCCCTCCTTGGGGTGGATTCCTGTATGTGGTGAGGGGACCTTCCAGGGAAGGTTCTGTATTTTCAGTTTACTTACTCTGGGATCTGAAAATCCACTCATGTGTTTGTTGTGAAGGGGAGGAGAGGATCCTGGTGGTTGAGTGGTGTCTGGGGCACTGCAACACACCACTTTGGCCTTGAATTCCTGTAGATGGGTGGCTTTGGGGTGGTCCTCCAGGATCAATC